TATACTAAATCGTGCTAATAGCTATTTATTATTTACTAAATCATGCTAATTGCTACTTTTTAATATAAAAATCGTGCACAGACGTTAGCCAATTCTCGGACTTATCTACTTAACCTAGAATCCTTATTTTTTAACTAAATATGTTTTTGATTATGTTTTATAAAACTGTATCTTTTTTGACGCAAAAAGCATTAACTATTTGGTAATTCTTTTATCCAAATAAATCCATCCGTTTGAAATTTAATTCAGGTATAAGTCTATGAAATATAATTATATTTATTAATTCTTGTAACCATGCTTCCACCTACGCATTGGCGAGAGCGCCCCCTGTGGCGTTCAGGAGAAATTCTATCATTGATATCAATCCCTGAATATAATGTTGCTGCATTTGCACATTTGCTTTTGATTATATTTTATACAATTATCTTTTATGATGCAAAAAGCATTAATTATTTGGTTACTCTTTTATCCAAATAAATCCAACAATTTCAAAATTAGTTCAGATATAAATATATGAAATTGAATTATATTTAATAATTCAATCAATAATATATTTTTTTCTAATGCAGCTGGCAAATAGACCGTGATCTTTTTATGCCAGAAGGGTTGCCCCGACGTTACTCACTTTGCACTACCCAGGGGGCGCGTGTAACTTGAAGATAAGCCACGGACGTGGAGTAACAATGCCCCCGCCGCAACGCTCTACGATTTGAACCCGATACCTGTGGTACTGAGCGCCAGAGCGCTAGCCACTCGGCCATCAGCCCCCCCTTTCTCTCTATCATTAATATCAATGTGTGAAATTAATTTTGCAACATTTGCTTTTGATAATGCAACTTTCACTTTTGATGCAAAAAGCATTAACTATTTTGGCAATTCTTTTATGCAAACAGATCCAACAGTTTGGAAATTAGTCCACGTTTAAATGTATGAAATATAATTATATTCATTAATTTTATCATTTATATCATGCTTGAAATTAATGTTGCTACATTTGCACATTTGTTTTTGATTATATTTTACACAACTATCCCTTTGATTCAAAAAGCATTAACTATTTTGGCAATTCTTTTATGCAAATAGATCCAACAGTTTGGAAATTAGTCCACGTTTAAATGTATGAAATATAATTATATTCATTAATTTTATCATTTATATCATGCTTGAAATTAATGTTGCTACATTTGCACATTTGCTTTTGATTATATTTATACAACTATCCCTTTGATTCAAAAAGCATTAACTATTTTGGCAATTCTTTTATCCAAATAGATCCAACAGTTTAAAAATTAGTTCAGGTTTAAATCTATGAAATATAATTATATTTATTAATTCTACCAATGATGTTTATGATTGTTACTACATTTGCTTTTGATAGCATTTTATACAACTATGTCTTTTGATGCTAAAAAACATTATCAATTTTGGTAATTCTTTTATCCAAATAAATCCAAAAGTCTGAAAATTAGTTCAAGTCCAAAAATATCAAATATAATTATATTTATGAATTATGTCATTGATATCAATGGATGAAATTAATATTTTTGTATATGCTTTTGATTATATTATATATAACTATCTATTTGATGTAAAAAGCAATAATTATTTTGGTAATTCCGCAATCCAAATAAATCCAGCAATTTGAAAATTAGTTCAGATATAAACTTATGGAACATAATTATATTTATTAATTCTACCATTAATAACAATGTTTGAAATTAATGTTGCTGCGTTTGCTTTAGATTATATTTCATACAACTATATCTCTTTTGATGCTAGAAAACATTAGCAATTTTGGTAATTCTCTTATCCAAATAAATCCAACAATTTGAAGACAGTTGATTTTTAAACAGTTAATTGATTGTTTAAATCTACGAAATATAATTATATTTATTAATTCTATCATTATATTAATGCTTAATTAATATTGCTAGATTATATTTTATACATCTTCGCTTTTGATGCAAAAAGCATTAGCTATTTTGGTAATTATTTTATCCAAATAAATCCAACAATTTGAAAACAGTTAGTTGATTGTCTAAATCTATGAAATATAATTATATTTATTAATTTTATCTATTGAATATATAACTTTTGATTATATTTATTTTATCCAAATTTTATCATTATATATTAATTATATCATTAATTAATGCTTAATTAATATTGCTAGATTATATTTTATACAACTTTCACTTTTGATGCAAAATGCATTTTCTATTCTGGTAATTATTTTATCCAAATAAATCCAACAATTTGAAAACAGTTAGTTGATTGTCTAAATCTATGAAATATAATTATATTTATTAATTTTATCATTATATTAATGCTTAATTAATATTGCTAGATTATATTTTATACAACTTTCACTTTTGATGCAAAATGCATTTTCTATTCTGGTAATTATTTTATCCAAATAAATCCAACAATTTGAAAACAGTTAGTTGTGTGTTAAATCTGTGAAATATAATTATATTTATTAATTATATCATTATATTAATGCTTAATTAATATTGCTAGATTATATTTTATTATTTTTGCAAAATGCATTTTCTATTCTGGTAATTATTTTATCCAAATGCAGTTAGTTGAAAATCATTTTAATTATATTTATTAATTTTATCATTTTTATGCTTAATTAAATAATATTTATACAACTTTCACTTTTGATGCAAAATGCATTTTCTATTCTGGTAATTATTTTATCCAAATAAATCCAACAATTTGAAAACAGTTGTGTGTTAAATCTGTGAAATATAATGATATTTATTAATTATATCATTATATTAATGCTTAATTAATATTGCTAAATTATATTTTATACACCTTCACTTTTGATGCAAAAAGCATTAACTGTTTTGGTAATTCTTATATGCAAATAAATCCAAGAGTTTGGAAAAATAGTTGTTTATATCTATGAAAATTAATTATGTTTATTAATTCTATCATTGCTACCAATGCTTGAAATGAACGTTGCTACAAATGGTCAAAGTATTCCAAAACGCCCTGTTCTTCTAATATAATTCATTTACGACTATGATAATAGTTGCTAGATTATACAGTTTCCTGCCTTGTACATCGTTAAACCGACAAAAAAAGAAGAAAAAAAAAAAAACCTAAATGATTATTTTAGGTAAGATAAATGTTGCAGAACTTTTGATTCAAAGTTTCATCCATTAAGTCGAATGAAGTCGTTCAACCAATCAGAATCGTTTTCCCCAAGGTCGAATGGAATGAGATTTAAAGCCAAACACCATTAGCCAACTCCCAAGTACGACGTACATATAAGTATTTTCAATCATAGTATTATCAAGTGCACACTTAAAATGGAATCGTTTTCCTAAATGGAAGAATATTAAATTATTACAAAATGAAAAATATTTTTATCTTATGATGTTAAAGAGTTCACGTACATTATTTTTTCCAATTTTTTCACCATTTTTTTTTCCTCTAATGCAGCTGGCAAACACTTAGACAGTTGTCTTTTATGCTTTTAAGGCAAGCGCCGCATCGGGGTTATTCATTTAGCGCTACCCAGGTAGTGCGTGTAGCTTGAAGATAAGCTACGGACGCGGAGTAACACTACACTCGATACGCTCTGCGATCCCATTAGACAAGGACCTACGGTTTAAAGCGAATTCCGAAACACTACAAACATCCATGGCACCGCCGGTACTCGATCCGGAAACCCATGTAGAGCCAGAGTGCTTAGCCACTCGGCCATCAGGCCCCCAGTTTTTAACCTATTACTGAAGATGAAGACATCCGGGTTCTTCTGTTTTTAAATTAGTATGCATTTTCTTTTTATAAAAAAATTCATTCAACATTATCTCTCCCCGCCCCCTCAAATTATCAATGAAAATTTCATTGCAAACAACAATGGATAAAAAAAACACAATAAAGAAAGAAATCCAATAGAAAGGGGCGCCACTAGCATAAAAGAAGTGCTGAAGTTTTAATCCGCTGGTGGTCTCTGTTGCAGTCACTGTTTTCAGAAACCAGTAGATTCTATAATTATTTAGATAGCACTTATGAGCGTGCCTTTCACATTGGCAGTCAGGTTGATGGTGAAAGTCTCCTAGAAAATTACCAAAATTTTGAGCTCACGAGGAGACTCGATGGCAATTGTGAAAAAGGACATAAACTTCTCGATTCTATATCCAGGCGGCGGCCCGATGGCACTTCGCTAGCGCTCTGGCTTTTGGCACCACATGATTTAGATATGAATCCTGGCGGCGGCGTGGATGTTTGTGAGTGGTTTGGAAACCACATTAAACGGTATGTCCCGGTCTAATTAACATAGAGTATGGATAAAATGACCGTCCAGCGACAAACCAAACCAAAACCTTCAATTACTAATGAAAATTTCATTGTAAACAGCGATGTGTAGACAAAATTTTGAACAAAATACATAAAGCTGCGCCACTAGCATAAAAAAGCTCTGTGGTTTGAATCCGCTGATGGTCTCTGTTGCAGTCTTTTTTTTAGAAACGAGGAGACACGATAGTTTTTCAGATAGCACATATGAGGGCGCGTTCCGTATTGGCAGGCAGTGGTGGTGATGAGAATTATCCAGATTTTCTCACGGGGAGATTGTGAGAAGGTGCATAAACTTCTCTCTTCCTCACGCCGGTTGTGTGGTGGGAGTATTCTGGGTTTTTCACCAATACAACATATAAATGCGGACCTCTAAAAGCCCCCCCCTCCCTCCCCCCAGAAATGTAATGCGCACCGATGTTCAAAAAATTATAATAATAAAAAATAAAGAACCCAAATAAACTGTTTGCTCATTTTCTGAAAGAAGTGACTGCAACGGACGCCATTTACAAATTTGAGTCTGAGCTCTCTTGCCCGAAAGTTGCTAACATTACCATTAGCGCTAACAAATGTTTGTGAACAGACTTTCTCTGTTATGAATATTTACCTGAAGCACCAAGTGACAGTCACTCTTCCGTCAGGCCCATATATATATATATATATATATATATATATATATATATATCACCGAAGTTAATCATCATTGGGCGCGGTCAGTACTTGGGTGGGTGACCACCTGGGAACACTGCGTGCCGTTGGCAAATTTGGGACCTGAATGGCCGAGTGTCTAGCGCTCAGGCGCTCGGTGCCACAGGTTTCGGGTTCGAATCCCGGCGGTGCCATGGATGTTTGTAGTGGTTCGGAATCCACTTTAAGCCGTAGGTCCCGGTCTTCTATGACTAAGAGCGTCACGGAGCAAAAGTCAGGCTTCTACCTACGGGTGCTCCATCATAACAGAAGCTGCTTCCTTCCCCTTCAATCATGAGTCCATATGGGCTCGTGGGCTTGGCCAGCCAAGTGGGATACGAAACAACAACAACAATATATATATATATATAGTTTACATTCATTTCGTATCTTGAAAGAAAGCATATAGAAATTTATGTAAAACTAAATACTAAAAATAAACTAAAATCCTTATTTTTTTATTTTTTTTTTTTTTTTTTTTATTTATTTATTTATTATTTTTTTTTTTAACTCTCCTGAAGGTATCTGTCGTATATATTAATTTAAAAATTTGTTTGTTTATCCTGTATTCAAATTAACAATTTTCAATCGGAAATTTTCCAATTTTGGCACGTACACAGGCTATGGCTTGTGTAAAACAGTAGGTTATTTTGAAATTTGGATATGCCCCTCTTCACCTTGATTTCCCCCCTTATTTCCTCAGTTTAATGAAAGGTTTCGGATGCGCTACGATGAGCGATTTTTATACATTCGAAGGTCCTGAATCCAATGATAGTTTCAATTATTTTCTAAGGCCAGTACAAAGAACGTAAGAGTATCACAGATTTGGAAAAAATTCCAATACACCAAATGCTTTATACTAAGCCTTAAACGTACACTCTTTGAGTGTAATGTACCTGAAATTTTTACCTGAACTTTATAATTGGTTTTTTTTTCCTTTATGATTTTTCTTTATGACTTTGCTTACAAAAAATTATTTAAACAAATCAATTTTTGAACTTTATAATTTTTAAATTCTGTTGTCTCGTTTACCCTCATTATATCACTTCTTTTCAGATAAGCTCGGGAAAGAATGGAGTACTTAAACCAATAAAATAAAAAAATTGGGACCTGAATGGCAGAGCGTCTGGCGCTCGGTTCCACAGATTTCGGATTCAAGACCCGGTAGTGCCATGGCTGTTAGTAGTGGTTTGGAATTAACTTTAAGCCGTAGGTCTCGGTCTCTTATGACTGTAAGAGTGTCATGGAACCAAGTCAGACTTCTAGCTACGTGTGCTCCATTACAACAGACGCTGCCCCCTTTCCCTTCAACCATGAGTCCATACGGGTTTGTGGACTTAATCTAGATGTTTACCAAGTGGGTAGTATATAGACTAAACCAATTATATTATTAACCATCAATTTAGACTAATTACCAAATCATCGACAATATAACCATATAGTCGTACTACATTCATCCCTAAATCTCTTTTTTTAATTAATGGTAAGAAATGAGTTAGGCTGTCTTATGTATTGTATAGTATACTACAACCAGAAAAATATTTACATGCCATAATTTCTCCCAATGCAGTAAACTTGTCATGATACCATTCATTATTAACATCAAATTTCCTATTCCAAGATAAAAGCGGACATTAGGAAAAACGTAGAATTATTTTTATGAAAAAATCCTAGCCAACATTTAAATTACGAGTGAAGATGGCACAGACAACTTGATAATGGCAAAGCATAATGGCAAAAGACATTAGTCTCCTGTTCATCACTTTGAGTATTGTTAACAACCCTAAAAAGGAAACTTAATCTGTTATGTCTTCCTTTAAACAGTCCCAGTTCCCGATGCCCTAAACGCCAAGCCAAGATTTGGGCACTCGCCTGCAATTTAAAGTTGAAATTGAACAATAAAATCATCTTATCCAACATTATCATATTCAATATGTTATACTGAGATTACTAAGTATATTTTAAAAAAAACTGAAATGCATGTTATGATTCTCTATTAGTTCCACTCACAATTTAAAGAAATTAATTCAAAAAAAATATTTGTAAATTGGTTATATAGACATTTATCTATAAGAAATACAATCTATCAAATTTAAATATGAAAGTAATTAGAGAAAAATACCCTTCTATAACATTCACCTAACGCGTTGTACAAATGTAATCTGAATCACTTCTCACTGAGAGCTGACATCTAACTGAACATCTTCCTCTTACAACAGACATCTTTTTAAATGTCTGTATAACCAATCTATTAATTTATGGGACCTGTAAGAGCACCACGGACCAAGTCAGACTTCTACCTACGGGTGCTTCATATCACAACAGAAGCTGTCCCCTTTCCCTCAATCCATCCATGAGTAGACTACTCATGGGACGTCCGTCCCGTACTGCAGGACACTGAGGATTAGTCACAACAATGAGTTCGTATTAGAGAAAGGGTCTCTAAATTCTTGGCCTAATTCAACTCATACGTAATATGAAGGATCTCTAACTGACAACTGGCATCTATCGATTCTCTAACTAAGTGATCACTAAAGAGTGGTACACATAGTAAGGAGGAGGAGGTACGCAAAGTGGGTTTGTAGGACTTGCAAAAGGCAGTGCAAATTGGATTTGAAAAAGATTCAAGAGGTACACAAAGTGATACTTTCGGATACGGTAAAGACGTAGGCTCACAATCATGAATCATGTGAGTATGAGGCTGGCCAAGTTCGGAAATAAGCGAGAGTTAGACCAGACCTTCGAATTGCATTCACAGAAGGCATAAATCCAGATTTTTCCAACATTACTATATGAATACAATCCAATTACTCACCTTAGATTCTAAATAAAAATGTAAATTTTTCATTTAATTTTAATGTATGTAATGTGTTTAAAATAAATAAGTAATAAATAATTTGATTTTTCACCCTTCTTCCCCCACACATGTGGACAGATACACACATATATATATTTTATGGCATACATTGTTTAACTTTTTTAGTCTTAAAAGTATGCGATCCACAAAGCGCATATAACTGGAATCAAACTTCCCCTTCCTCAAATTCCACGAAATGTTGTTTCGTTACTTGCAATTGTGCAAATAATTTCCATTTCCCCGAATTCTTTTGCACTAAAGCAAACCAGGGAAATGAACTGAACATACAGTTGGAGCATTCATTTCTTTCAAATAAATTAACGATGAATTACGTTACTAGTCGAAAGAAAACGTTAATAGAAAAATAAAAGATTTTAGCCATTGATTTGATCATTTAAGTACCTTAGCCCCACAGGGCTTAAAGCCAATTTCTTAATCAACTTCAAGTACATGGCGGTACTTGATACAATATAAATTGTCTAATATAGTACAATGACTACAAATAACAATCCACAGTAGCACAATGAAATCAGTTAAGTACATATTAAAAAATGCCCAATTCTTCTTCTTCATTATCGCAACAACCTCATGGTGAGCCAAGCAATCTGCCTATTTGAAGATTTCGAGACAGGAGATGTTTTCTTTTTTTTTTGTAGGGTTGTCGGACCGACACCCAACGCTCTGCGGTCATATTAGACAGGGACCTACTGTTTAAAGTGGATTCCGAATCACTACAAGCATCGATTGCACCGCCGCCTGGATTCTAACCCGAAACCTGTGGCACCCAAGCGCCGTCATCAGGCTCCAAATGTCCAATTAAAATAGAGATATAAATTAAAATAAAAGAACCAAATAGAATTAAAATACCATAAAAAATTAAATTAAAAAATTTAAATTTAAACAAAAAAGAGTGGAATAATAACTGCATGACAACGATGAAACCTCAGAAATAATGACAAAGAATTTAAATCCACTGGTACAATTTGAGGGCACTTAAAATTAGAGGAAAGAATAGGATTGTAAAAAAACAGAGATTTTGAATTTCATAATTGGAGATGTTAATCAGATTATTTTATGAAAAAATAAGGTTACTCCTTTTTCATACATTAAAAGTTTTGAATTACTTTTTAAGATCAATATAACAAGAGAAAATCAATGATATTAATAGCAATTCGTAAAAATATACAGTAACAAGGGCTTTTATCTAGTACGCAAAATAATAATACGAAACATTATAAAGAAAGGGCCAATTAAAGCTAATGATTAAAAATTTTCTCAAACCCATACAGGTGTCTTTTTATCATTGCGACAGAAATCAATCTGTTATTTGTATTATTAATCTCATATATATATCTACGAGTAATAATATAATAATTGAATGGATGTATTTATATAATTGTACCGAATTTAAAACTTAACTTTTAAATTCTTTTATTTTTTATCTTACTTTTTTATAAATAGTATTTTTTTTTTTTTTTTTTTTTTTTTTTGAGTACCTACTTAATTTGAATTTTTAGAAACATTTATCTTTAATTTTACTAACAATAATTAAGCAGCCATTTAAAATTCCAAGCATATTTTTGAATTAAGATGAGGAGGTTTAAGGGGTTAATTCCCCCTGTTGGTACTCCGTAATCGGTACGCCAGTTGCCATGTATTTATATGAAAAATGGTAGATTTAATCCCTTTACCCATGAAGAACTCATGAGCCCGACTCGTGGCAAACATGGTTACCAGTGAGCATTAAGGCGAAGGTTCAATCCGCTGATGGCATTGTTGTATACACTGTTTTAAAAAACGGGGAAAATTGACGGCATTTGTGATGTTCAGCATCTTGCCTCGTCGTCGGACTATCTGGTGGGAGTCTTCCGGATTTTGTTCTGTACGATACGCATATGCAAAATAGTTCCCCCTTAAATTCTTCCTGGAAGGCACTGCCCTCCTTCTTCAGCGTCATGGAGGCAAGTCAGACTTCTACCTACGGGTGCTCCATCACAACAGAAACTACTCCAACCCTTTTCCTCCTTCCATGAGACCACATGGGTGCATGGACTTTATCTAGATGTTGCTGTCGACCAAGTATGATAAGAAACAACAATAGTCGTTCTTTGCACTTCGACATAAGCCGTTTGCGACAAGGACAGCAAATATATAGCAAATTCAACATTACACAAGTATTACCACGAGGGTGTGCTGCTGCACTATACCATAAG